AATAAGATCTTTAATATATGATGGAGCTTGAATGTTCCATTAAGATGTTTCAGAATCGTTCCAAGTGAATTGTCTTATTCCATTAACTGATTTTTTCACTTAATTTGAGTCAAATTGCCAGGCGAACAAGATGAATGTTATGTGTTCTGATAAGATTATGATTCTTACACATTCTGTTCTTGAGGATCAGTGCCTCCAAATCCGAGACCATGGTCTTGAGCCAAAAAAGGTTAGGGTGTCTTCTCCAGGTCACGGAGGATGTCCTGCCCCAAGTGGAGGAGCAGAGTCTTGTTCATGAATGAGGGAAGAATGGAGCGGGAGATTGGCAGGTGCATTGGTGCTGTTTCTGCAGTGATGCGGGCGCTGTACCGGTCTGTCGAGGTGAAGCAAGAGCTGAGCCAGAAGGCAAAGCTCTTGATTTACCGGTCAGTCTACATTCCTACCCTCATCTATGGTCACATGCTTTGGGCAGTGACCGAAAGAACGAGATCACAGATACAAGCGGCTGAAATAAGTTTCCTCTGCAGGGTGTCTGAGCTCTCCCTTAGAGATAGGGTGAGAAGCTCAGTCATCCAGGAGGGACTCAGAGTAGAGCCGCTGCTCCTCCACGTCGAGAGGAGCCAGTTGAGGTGGTTCATCTGGTCAGGATGCCTCCTGGACACCTCCCTGGTGAGGTGTTCTGGGCACGTCCCACTGGGAGGAGGCCCAGAGGAAGACCCAGGACACGCTGGAGGGACTATGTCTCTCAGCTGGCCTGGGAATGTCTTGGGATTCCCCCAGAGGAGCTGGTCTAAGTGACTGTGGACAGGGAAGTCTGGGTCTCTCTGCTTAGGCTGCTGCCCCCGAGACCTGACTCTGGATAAGTGGAAGAAAATGGATGGATGGACATTCTGTTCTTGTTCAGTAAATCAGTCTCAAAACAAGATCAAAATGATTTTTTTGGCTGGATATAAGATTTTAAAACTCGGTTAGATTAATATTTTTTGCAGTGAACAGGGGTGCCCAAACATTTTCCCCAAAAGGGCCAAAATGAAAATCAATCTAGGGCTGCGGGCCAAATGCAGTAATAAAATATTTGAAATACAAATACTTTTTAAGTAAAGTCCTTTATTTTCCACAATTAAACCTGCAGCCAGTCTAGTGGCCCGCTTTTGTTTTAGTGTGCGCAGTTGGAGAAAGTCTGCCATRCGTTCAAGTAGCAAAGGCTCACAGGACATTAATGTCCCATGAGTCTTTTCTACTTAGATAAAGTCAGCACCATGAGTGAAGACTATCTGCACTACAGCCCCTTATAGTCATTGGGCCAATAGATGAAATGACTAAGTGGAAATCCTGTGTTTTTACATAGGACAACAGGTTACAGCCTAGTAAATGTGCCAACTGCTGGTGGGCAAAATCAAATGGCTTGGCGGGCCAAATTTGGCCCGCGGGCCCCACTTCGGGCTCCTCTGTGTCAGAATCTGTTCATGCTTGAAACAAAGTAAATTTGATAAAAATGACACAACATTCTACAAAAACTAGGCTGAAATTTGCCAAAAGGCATATAAAGAAGCCACAATGTTTCAGAGAAAACCTCCTTCAGACAGATGAAATAGAACTGGAGCGTTTTGGCAACAAATCACATCAACTCTGTTAACAGACCCTACACTGAAACATGGTTCTGTTCATGCTGCTTCTGGGACAGAGGGTCTGAATCTGGACATGGAGAATCTCAAGACTATCAAGGCACTGGAGAGAAACGTGCTGCCTCGTGTTAGAAAGCTTCATCTGAGTTGAAGCTCACAGGACAATTACACAACTATAAACAGCCTAGAATGGATCAGAACCAAATGCTGGACTGTTTTAAAGTGGACACACTGAGTCATAATCTATGTCCTGTTGAACATCTGTGGAAGGGACACCCAGACCTGAGACACCTGGAGCAGTTTGATGAGGAGTGGACCAGAACTCCTGTGGACAGGAGGACATATGGACAGTGATTAATTTAACGGTTCTAGAAGCAAATATAAGGTTCAGGTATCATCCTTATTGTCAAATCCAGTTTAATTATTTGACATATTTTTATTAGTTGATTTTTAATAATATTTTTGATTTTTTATTAATTTAGTCATTAGTTTTTTTAGTGAGCATTGTGTATTTTTATTTAAAAAAACAAAAGTAAAATAGTTAGAGCATGTTTAAATCCCCACAGCATTCTTTTTTTCTCTCCTCACATTCATTAAATTATAGTTGGGATGAGTGTTTGACAAAAACACTGTCGTTTCTCATCATGATATGATTTTAATCTAAACTTCTGGTATCAAAGGCAGCAGGAGATCTGCTGTTAGGATCAACTCCAGTTTGTTTGATTTCATGACAGAAACAGGACTTGGTGTCCTCTGGTCCTCCAGTCTGCAGCCCACTGGAAACTGTTCAGTCATCTGACTGCAGGTGTGAGGAGCTGATCTGTGAGTCTCTGCTGCTCTCCTCTGGCACAACTCAGATACAGCAGCAGGAGCTTCTAACATCAGGTAAAACAGGGAGAGTTCATCAGAACATCTGGAGTCCAACAAGCCAAACGGCTCAGTTCAACAAAATGTTCAGAATCTGAAGAGCAGGTATTTTTTAAAAGCATGAATTGATAAAAATCCAGCAAAGCTGGATTCATGTTGCGCTGAGTCATGTTGGGTCTTTGCTTTTATGGTTCCATCAATTTTTTCCCACAGTAGGATCATCAAACCAAGTGTTACCACTGAAAGAACCAGAACACTTCAGAGGGTTTAAACTCTTGGTTTTATTACATCTATTCTTTGTTTTACTTCACGCGAGGAAGGAAAGCTCCACCCCCCAGGTTAGGCAAAGTTTCATGTCTGATAAATCTTCATCATTCATTCAATATAAACATAAAATCTGTTTTCTTTTACATGGACAGACTGACAGGTGCAAACACATTCTCAGCTCCTTTCTTGACTCACGGTGATCTCTTTAATAAATGACCTGATTCACTGGTTTATTCCGTAAAATGTGGGTTTTATCAAAACAACATGCAACATAAACATATAGACATGTGTAGTTTCATATAAACAGTCTGAACAGAGAGCATTTTAGACAGGGGCGGAGCTAGGCTTTTTTGCAAGGGGTGGCACATACTGTAGGTGGCAAAGGTGTTTTTATTTGAGGGGGGCATACAAATAAAGAAAAGCACTCTGGATTAAAAAAATTCAAGATGGTAACCACAGCTAATTCCAAATGGTTTTTATTAATCTGTTTTAAGATATGTTGAGCTGAATTTTTTTGGGGTCATAACTAAGAATGATCTAAAAAACATACTGAATGCTTAATGCTAGTCACAACTAATAATTCAGCCATTTTTAGACACACAAAACTGAAGAATAGTGTAGAAGTAGACTAAAACAATCTTTATCTAATTGGGTGGTGTCCAAGTTCGGTCCTCAAGGGCCAGTGTCCTGCATGCTTCAGGAGCTGCCCTGGTTCAACACAGCTGAACCTAAGGAGTGCTTAGTGGGCCTCTGCAGACCTTGATGGCATACTGAGGAGACCTACAAATTAAGGAGTCCTTAGGTTCGGCTGTGTTGAACCAGGGCAGATCCTAACATGCAGGACACCGGCCCTTGAGGACTGACTTTGGACACCTCTGATCTAATTATAAATGCTGATCAAAAAATTCAAGATGGCCACCAAAGCTAATTTTAAAAGGCTAAGACTTATTATGACCCCCACACGCAAGGCGTAGGCCAAAGCGGGAGTCATATTGTTTTCGTACGGTTAATTATTTTTCCCAGTGATTTTTGGTCAACTGTAGCACAAAAACGGCTGCACCGATCAACATGACATTTGGCAGGGATGTAGATGAGTCTGACCCACACTGCACCAGCCAACGGTTTTACGATAGACCCCATATTTGAGGAGGGGGCTCCATCCAAAGAGAGGGTGTTTGGACATGCAAAAATGCTTATAACTCAGAAACTGTTCAACATAGAAGCTTCAGATTTCTTTTGTTGTTTAGCTCTGATGAAGCTCTATCCATCAGGCCCACCAATCAGTGCCGAACTGGCAACCTTCCAGTTCCAGGACGACTCCCCTAACCACTCTGCCACAGCCGCCCTAAATTAAGCTAACCACCAACGCTAAATCTGATTTTACAAAGGGCTATAATTCAGCCACTCATAGCTAAAAAATAAATGGTACAATAGTATCAGAGAACAATCTTTAACAAAATCAAAATGCAAATACAAAATCCAAGCCCCGCTTTTCAGTTATTTGGGGGTGGCACCTGGGTCGGCCAATCCGGTGCCAGAGGTGCCACATGCCACCCCCCTTGCTCCGCCTCCGATTTTAGACTGAGCTGTTCTCAGAGATCAGCTGACTGCAGCTACTTTACATAAACAAACACGCCCACAAAGTTCTGACCAATCACAAGGCTCGATGCTTAGAGCTGTGAGGAGTTCTGGCAGGGGGTGATGCTCAGGGGCTTTCAGTCTTCATGTCAGTGCGGTTCTTCTCACTGAGTATAAATCAGGCTTTAGCTCAGATGTGGCAGCTGCAGCTGCATCCAGATGCAGTTTGAAAGGGTTGTATAGGTGAGCTTAAAATAAATTTCATGGTGCTTTTACACTGAATGACATGAAAATTTTTGTTTTGACATGTAGCTAGGTCATGGAGAGGATCATCATTCTGTGCAAACAAACTGAAGGTTCTGTTTTTTCTCAGAAAACACAAAGATCGAACAAAGCAGGGTCCAGGTTGTGGTTAGGTGGGCCTGACGTAAAGTGGGCGGGCCACCAAATTGACCACAACTTGTAAAATAAATAAAAACTGGAACAATGTTTATTGTTTATTGTTGTCCTTGTTTACAACAAACTATTCAGCTTCTGATCCACAACGCAGCACCATTACAATGTCATAAGGTTTACTTCAAAACAAATATTTTCATTTGAAAGAATCTGAAAAATATTTCAAATGATACTGAAACCATGTATCTTGATTTAAACAAATAGACATTTTAAAATCCAATATTTTTATTAATATTTTTAAATTTACACTGAACTGAGCGAAAGGTTACAACTTGTCACAAAAACTGATGTCAGTTCTTCATTTCTTTGTAGATATTGACATCAGGCTTTAAACAAATGTTTAATAAAAGTGCGAACTTATTCAGTGGACAGGATAAATATTCACAAGTTTTTTTTAACTGTTATTTTTCATTCAGTCAAAGAATTGAGTTTGTTTTGCATTATTAATGAGAGGAACTTTACATGGATAACAGCTTTCATCAGGGTTAGAAAAGCCTGTGCTGATGTATTAAATTAGCTGATTTTAACAATGCAGGTATTTGAAAACATGAAGTAATATTTTACTATTAGGTTGTTAAAAATCCTCTGTGCTTTTAAGAAAATCAAGCATGCTTTGGTCAGACCAAAAAGGTTGTTTTACAAACATCTCACAAATTAGAAGAAAAAAAGATGAATAAATTTCTGGGTATTTTTCGTACATCATCAATTCAGACTCTCAAAATTTCCACTCGGAAACCATAAAAAAAAGATTTTTCATTTGTGTCCTGAAATCAGGTCAATGAGGACATATCTCATGTTCTTACAAACAAACCAATCCAACTGGACCAACAGAACCAGCTTCAGACACACCAGGTATATAATTTATCAAAACAAACAATTGTCAGCACACAGACAATAATGTTTGAAACATCAAAAACATTTTTCAGTGAGGTTTGGTAGTCTTGATCAATTTTCTATTGTTCCTATTTTAATAAAGTGTCAAAAAATAAATTCTAGTTATTTTTCAGGTGATGCGCCCAAAGTGGGTGTGTCTATGTCATGCCACGCCCACATGAAGCCACACCTCCTGTAGTGACGTGTCAGGTTGTTGTGCTTCTATTTTGGCATGACAATCTAAAGTTTTTATTTCACATCAACTAAATCAGGAGGCTGTCAGAGAACATGGTGGGGTGAAGACTAGCTGGTGCTGGTTCTGAAGAGGTACTGGTTCTGAAGAGGTTCTGGTTCTGAAGAGGTGCTGGTTCTGAAGAAGTACTGGTTCTGAAGAGGTTCTGGTTCTGAAGAGGTGCTGGTTCTGAAGAGGTGCTGGTCCTGAAGCTTTCACCGGTCTGGGCTGATGTTAGCGTGCAGAGGCAGCATGATGAGGCTAGATGAGAGGAGGAGGGGTTAAGTCTGTCTCTCACCTCTTATTTTATAAACTTCAAACACCTGACAGATCAGGAGACAGCAGTAATTATCCTCCTGTGTTTTAAGGTAAAGGTGTATGTGTGTGTTCACGTGTGTGTGTGTGTGTGTGTGTGTGTGTGTGTGTGTGTGTGTGTGTGTGTTTTTACATCCCATAATCCACTGGACAGCTTTTAATAAAACTAGTCACTGTATGAACATCTACAACTGATTCACTTTGAGAATCGATCTAATTCAAGATTCAACATGTCTGTAACAATCAGTTTGAAAGATTTTTAAATTTTTATAAAAACTGACTTAAAATTCAGTGCCTTAGTAACAGAGTCATGGACAACTCATACTTTAAACTCTCTAGATCATGTTGTGAGTTACTCAGATATACATTTATTTTATTGATTGTAATCCATTTATCTTTACTTTAAACTGTATGAGAATCAACAAGTCTCTATTTAGTTTTAGTGTTTGTTTCTATACGTACTTCCTTGTTTACTATGACATCATATCCAGGGTGTGACCAAGTTTTCTAAAAACGTTGTAAGAACGTGATCCAGGGCTTTTTATTCCTTGGTCACCTAACTGAGGGGAATGGACCAGATCTGAGGTATGGGAGGTCACTTTGCACGTCTATCAATAAATATTTGAGTTTCCGATCACATTTGAACATTTTTTTATCAGCTGGTGACCCCGACGTGATGAGCTTCAGTGACGAGAAGAATCTGATACCCATGCATGCGACTGCAGCCTGCTCTTTGGTTTTCGGTTGTGGGAAGATGGAAGGTGGGCAGGTAAATTAGAGTCAAAAGGATTGTCTGTCTGTCTTAGGAGAGCCTTCGGTCATTAAATTTGTCAGTAGGGACAGGTTGTTCACAGGGTTTAGTTTTTTTTGACACAGTGCAGTATGAATGTGAACCACATCGGCAGAAAATGTAAACAATTCTTGCAATTTTGTTTCCCATTCAAACCAAGTCTACTGGACTATCTGGTGTGAATATGACCTTACGCTACTTTAATCTATTAGCTACTGACTTCCTGATTTTTATTTTTAGTCACAGTTTTGCTAAATATGAATCTTTTTAGCCCCATTCTTGCTAAGTTGTGTTTTTAGCTATGCTTTTGTTATTCTAGCTCTTAGCCATAACTTTTAGCCACAGTTTTGCTATTTTAGCTTTTACCTACATTTAACCTTTAGCTATGATTTATTAAAGTTACTGTATGTTCTTAGCTCAGTTTTTGCTAATTAGATCTTTTAGCTGTTGTACACTTTGCTAAATTTTAGGTTTAAGCTATTGTGCTTATTTCAGCTTTTGTTTTGCTAGTTTTGGCTTTAAAAATTGTAGGGGTCACCTCGACTGAAGAAACAAGATTTTCTGCCTCTAAGCAGGCCTCGGACAGCCTGACAAGAGGACAGGAACTCTGTTACAAACTGAACTCTATTTAGGCCATGACAGGTCATTCTAACCGTGGAAGAGAACCACTCTGTTCTCTTAATCAGATAATGGACAGAACAATCTCCTCTGTTTGTGATTCATTTGTCGTTTAACTAAGAATGTTTATGCATTTGTTAAATCATGATAATGACTGTCACAAGAAAAGTGGAACAACTCCTTTTCTCTTATCGTGCCTTAAAGATTTATAATGGTATAAAAAATCACAGAGAATCTGATTACAATGTTTTCATTGTGTTTTCATGCAAATCACTGTTTTATTTTACTGTGAACACAGTAATATAATTATGGATTTTTCCTGAGAAAATCTTTCATTTATCTGGACTAACAGAAGGTTCAGAGCTGATTATAAACAGAAATGTTTCAGTTAATCATCATAAATGTTTTGCAGTGATTTCTTTTAGAGTCTATCAGAAGGAAGCTAAAGAGGTTATCATGATGTTTGTTGTACAACCACAGAATTGAACCTTGACTGGCGCCTGGCAAATCTTTATCTTTCTTTCTCTGACTCATTTCTAAGCCTGAGGGCGGAATCAAAGTTCTTCCATTTGTTATAGGAAACTGACCACCCACAATCAAGTTGTAACTCATGATTTGTTTAATTTGTGTCAATAAATGATTGCATAGTCATTATGAATCAAATTGAACTCATCTGAGTGTTCCACTTATTGTGTCATTTTCATTTCGCACAGTCAAGATATTAACGAAGAGTGAGAAACCCTTGGTAAAAATTTTCCTCATAACCTTGTGTATGAGAGATGTGGGAGAAGCTTATTTCATCCTAAGCTAGTCCCCTACAAAATTAATTCTTCAATAAATTACAATAAAGTAGTTCAGCTCTCAGCATTCAGACTGTCATCTGTCTACAACTACCAGGACAGTGCTCAGTATCATTCACATGTTTGTAGCCGTTGGACCCAGGTCTCCTCAGAGTCCAGTTACCTGGCTGGGTGGTTTCTGGGAGGTCTGCTGCTGGCCCTCTGGCCTCTTCTCTGAGGAACCAGATGATGAAGTCCGGACTTTAGTTTGGTTTTGGTGAGCAGAGGGGCTTGTGGTGCTGCTGGAGCTCTGTCAAACAGATCCAAACACAGAGTTAAGGCTGGGTCCATCTAACTGAAGTTAAACCCCTGCCTCTGCTGTCAGGTCAACTTGAAGTTATCACCCACCACTTAGAGACCAAGATGAAGGAAAGTGTGTGACAAAATCAGGTTTATTAAAAAGTCAATCATTTGCAGCTTTACATCAGATTCAAGATGGCTGCCATAGTCAACTGACCATCAAAACCAGAAAATGTCTATAACTTGTTTAACTTTACAGGCACTGAACTAAAATAACACTTAGAGCACAACACATTGTTCGTGTAAACCCTGTCTGTCTGTCAGTTTTAATTAAACGTTAAGAAAGTTGAGTGAGTTTCTAAACATTAGGCCACACTGGAGCACAGCATAGGATAACATGTCAGTAAGATATAAACCACTTCCCAGAGGTAATTTTTATGCAACCTCATATGTACCTGTAAGTACCCCATAAGTATATTTAGTTACCCTGTAAATACAATGTAAGTACCCTTATATAAGTACCCTGTAAGTATCTTGTGCATAGCCTAGTATCTTATAATTGCATTTGAAGTATCCTGTATGAAGCCCTCTAAATAGTCTGTCATTATCCTGCAAGTACTCAATTTGTATCATTATAAGTACCCTGTAAATGCTCTATAAGTAGCATGTAAGTACCCCATTCATACACCGTAAGTACCTTTAATTATCTTGTAAGTGTAAAATAATGGCCCCACGTTGGGCGCCATTATTTTATGTTAATTTATTTTCAAAAGTTTTTAAATATCGTACTAATTAGTATCATTAATATAGTACAAAACACTAATGTTTATTTCTTTTTAGAAATGAGGATGGAGATTTTTTATTATTTACTTTAATAAAGTGAGGGACAACTCGGGCCGTCACAAGTGTATCATGTAAGTCTTCTGCAAATTCCATGTTTGTCACTATTTTACATGAGAGCATGTTGAGTCTCCATCGTAAAAGCCTTAAAAACCAGATTATGAATAACAATAATATATTAGGTCACATGGCTCAGTATAAACCTGAAGTGTTGCAGTAAAATGGTTCTGATAACATCTATGTTTACAACTGATTCGTTTTTGGAGTCAGTCCAATTTAAAGGTACTGAGCTTAATCTATTTTTGTTTCAGAGCAATGTGCAGTACTTCAAAAAATATTTTTTCTTAAATAAAGTATGTAAAAGTATTCTAACAACCCTAAAAAACAACATTTTGTGGTAATGAAGGAGTATAAATACATTTTGTAACTAAACTAAAAGCATTCCCTTCATCTTGATGCATTCTTAAGCCCAGAGAAAAACTGAAGTGAGAGAAAGATGAAAACAAAACCAGGTTCTGAAGCGTACCCAGCACCATCCACCCCGAGCTGCTCCTTAGAAAACCCAAGCCATGAAAGAAACATGAAAGTGAAGAGAGAGTTAAAAAGTCAGAGTTCAAACCCACACCTGCCCTACACCACTGCAGGAAGCTCTGACCCATCAGACCTGTTTCCTGGACCCGGTTCTTCCAGAGTGATGTGGAGACGGAGCTTTGGCTCTTTTAGTCTGAGGTGGATTCTGGTTCCTGAAGGTCTGAGTGGCTGATCTTTTGGATGAGCTTCTTTCCCTTTTGTGTTTGTCTTTAGCTGGAGCTCCAACTGAAGGGTCCTGAGAGGAATTCTGATGGTCAGACGGTGATAAGACGATAGAGGTGGGGTTTGGGGGGCTTGTTATAGCATCCATACTGATTTCTAACTGCTTGATGGACTCTTCTAAGCTGTTGATGGACTGAAATGTCCCCTTGCACAGAGCTTCAACGTGGGCATTGGATTTTGAAAGCCTTGTATTGGCTGAGGCATCTTTGTCAGGGCTGAGCTCGGAGCTCTTGGATTCTTTAGTTTGCTTCTCAGTCTCCATGATGGGTCTGCAGTCGGACACCATCTTCTTCTCTGCCACGGCAGGTTCTGGAGTCTTCTTCGCAATTTTGTTTGTTCCTGGTCGAAAAGCCTGGCTAAGTGCAGCCAGTTTGTTTTTGGGAAACTTGAATTTGAATATACTTTTAGCTTCCATCTTCACGAGTGTCTGATCCTGGATTTGGTTTTCAGAGTTTGAGATGTTCAGTACCGAGGGCCGGGGTGAGTTTTGACCATTTTCTGGGCTGTCAGGAGGACCTTGCCCAGTCCTGGTGTTGGCAAAAGGAGTTTCCCTCACACCCTCTTCTTCACCGTTACATGTTGTCTCTGTTTTCTCCAAAACACGGTCCATGTCTTCCTCATACTCAACAATGCTGCTCATGTAAGTTGACTCATCGTTGTCCTCAAACCCATGGTTCTTGTGGCCGAAACACACAGGCTGACCTGTGCTGTTCACAGGTATGAAGTCATTCATGTTATCTGTCTTTTCTTTCCTGGACTTAGTCCCAGTGTTGACCTTGGAGACTCCCGAGTCAGAGTCATGAGTCGACAGAGGAGAAGTTGGATCCCTCTTGATCCAAATATCAGATCTCAGGCTGTTTTCTTCTTCGTTGCTCAGGGATTGGACCTTGGGAACCTGAACAGTTTCTTCCTGGTTCTGCTGCTTGCTGGATGAAGAAGGTAGAGGTTTTGGGGCTGTAGTAGAAGGGGACTCGTTCTGCTGAAGATCTGGTAAAGGCTCTGTATCACGGTGCTTGGCTGTGGGTTTCTTTTCTAAAGTGATCAAAACTGTTAAATTTGACTTCTCAGCTGCTTCGCTGTTGGCCGTTTGGTTTTGTGGTTCAGGACATGCTTGACTTTTACCTTTTCGTAGAGAAACAACTACTGCAACATCTGTGTTTGGTATGCGTTCAACTTTATCCTTGTTGGTTTGATCAGGAGTGTTTTTTAAAAACCCTCTTTTCTGTGAAGTCACCTCTTCTGTGTTTGTTTGAACAGACACACAAGGAGGCTCCAAGACTGATGAAGTCTGTGGAGCTCCAGGAGGACTGATCTGCTCCTCCACTACTGCTCGTATCAGTGCAGACAATGGTTTCATCACTTTCTTCTCTGTGTGTTTAAAACCTCTTGTTGACCCATCCCGGTGAAAATCTTTCAGTTTGTCAGATGAAACACTGGAGTTGTTTGTAAATGTTGCTTTGGACACTTTGGATGGAGATGTTTTTCTTTTTCCTTTTGAGTTTTGCTTAAATCCATCTGGTGGATTATTTCTATTTGACAATTCTGCAGAGGCCTAAAATAAAAAAATAAAAAAAGATTTAAACATTTTATTAAACATTACATATAACACCCCAGTTTCACTAGCAATTATTTATTTTTACCATAAACTCCAAATAATCTAGAAAAATTGCATTCCCTGTGAAAATGCTAGTGTGAATGCTTCATGTTGAAAACTTAAGCTGAAAGCTGCTGAAATCAAGCATTTAATAGGAAATGTGTTAATGTGAGCTCACTTTGAAAAGCTGAAAGAAGCAAAAATGTCTAACTTTGCAGAAAAACAGTAAAAAGAACACAAATCTAGTTGAAAACAGAAAAAAGCTAAGAGCTATAGCCGAATAAAACTGAAAACATCTACTGGATAAGAAGCATAAATAGCACTAGGTAGCAGAAAAAAGCATAAAAAGTAGAAAAAGCGGAAGAGTAGCAGAAAGAAGCAGATCTATAGTTAACCTACAGATACAGAACATTCATTATAATGATTCAGATACAAATAATTATAAAATGTTACAAAATAAAGCTTAACCATAATGCAAAGTTTAGTTAAGATAAATATTTAAACTTAAAAATCTATAATCAATTACTGTGGTTTCACAGTTAAAGTCCAAGCAGTGATTTACATCAAAGCACAATAAAACATTTTAATAACATTCTTTTTGTGTTTTCCTTTTATACATTGATAAAATTATGAATAACAGAAGATTATTCTGTTTATTATCATATTAATAAGAAGAAAATGTCTCTTTACTGCTTAAGAAAACATGTTACCACAGAGTTCTGTCTCTCTGAAGGAGGCCTTCTGTGACCAAGGTCTGACAGGTGGAACAGTTCATTCCACATCGAGGTGACCACTACAGTAGCATAAACAGCTAAAATTAGCAAAAAATAAACTAAAGATAGCAGCCACAAGTTAAAAGTAGCACCCAGATACAGAAGATGTTGTAAAACTTGTAAAACTAAAATTGTATTAAAAATGCATATAAGTACAAAAACGTGATAATTTGTAAAATGGCCAAAACAGATTAAATTTTTAGTAAAACAGCTAAAAAGTAGCATGTTTTTTTTTATTAACATAAGAAAATATACTGTACTGTCATGATCTGTGTTTTTGTCTTTATTTTCTTAGTGTTTTTCTGTTCCCATGTTTTCCTCTCCCTGCTGTTTTACCTCCAGCCCCACCTGCGCACACCTGATTCCTCTTGTGTCTCCCCAGGTGTTTCTCATTAACTCTTGATTTGTTTGCTTTATATTCTGAGTCTTGTCATTCGTGTTTGTCAGTTCATTGTGCTGTGTTCCCTCAGTCTGTGTGGTGTCTTCGTGGTTTCCCTGAGAGTTCTGTAAGTTTGAGCTGCTTCATCAGCCTTTTTGTTCCTTTAATAAACCTTTTTGTTGCACTTTGATTTTTGCCTGTGCCCTGGGTCTGTTCCTGCACCAATCCTTACAGAATGAACCGACCAAGTCCCCAGCCTGCAGGCAAGACCTTTTAGAGTTTTAAAGAAATGTTTGAGATGTTACAGCAGAACAGTGAAAATCTGGCGAAGCTGTCTGCCCTTCTCTCAGGGGACCTCCCCTTCAAGAGAAGTGGATCCTGGTTAGGTTTTTTTTTTTGCCCAACGTCCCACCCCTGTTTTTTTTCCTGCCTCAGATACAAGGAAGTGTTGATTCATGAAAAATGACAGCGAAAACTAAAAAGAAGAACTTTACGAGTTCAGAGATTRAAGTCCGTCTGTCAGAGATCCAGAAAAGAAAATCTGTCATTTTTAGCAGGTCAGCTGTGGAATAAAAAGAGCTGCTAAAA